CGATATCAAGTCCGCATCTTGTATAGCAATTAACCACTAGGAAGAATGTATGCAATGTGTTAATTATTGAAACTGTCTTACCAATTTGGTTTGAAACTGTCTCATTGCTATTTGTTTCTCAATAAAAATATGAAAAAAATTAAAAAAAAAATCCTTATATACTGCATGGTTTCTCTTACCTGAGAAACCCAAAGTACAGATAATTAAAAGAAAAGATAGTACAAAACAGGAGCTAGATCTCTTGCAAATGGGAAAGGAGCTAAAGTTGGAGGGAGATGAGAGAAAGGGGAAAGAAAGGGAACAGAAAGAATTGAGAGGTTATACATAGGTACCGACTTTCCACACCATCACTGGGCACCACAAACTTTTACTAATAAAAAGAAAGATGAAAACAAAAAGGAGGAACAATGGATATAAGAAGGCTCAGTGGAAAGGGTTTCCATGACAACCAGTTTCCAAGAAGCCCACCCTATGTAAACAGTACACTTAAGCTGGTCTATCATATGAAATCAGTTTGCAGTTCTCTTTCACTTGTTTGTGCTGGGAGAAGTACCCACACCGAGGAAAGAACCGCTGCAGCACCAGCCCTCCTCTCCGGAACCAGAGCAGGAGGCCCAGGGGCACCGCCTACCCCCTCCTCCCCGCTCCTCACCAAAGTGGCAGAAGCATCACACTCACACCATGAGGAAGACGCCACCCATGTTGGACACGCAGCCTCTGCTTGTCGGGGTGGCGTGCTTGTCGAAGCCGCAGACGCCGCACAGCAGGCCCAGATAAAAAAAGACCACGATGAGGGTCGGGAGGAAGCAGACAATCAAGCTTCCCAGCCACCTGGTAAAGAAAGCACAGTGTTAGGACACTAAGGGGACACCATCGGGACCCAGGAGCTTCTGATTAAGGCTGCAGTGGGTGTGTGTATGTGGCAGGATCCTGGCCATCTATGACATATCAGGACCTGTCCTACCTCTACGCCTCCAAGCCAGCCTCCAGGGGCATGTTTAGCCTCGAAGACCTCTTTCAATAATCATGACATGCTTGCTTTCTCTTTTTCAATTTACTACCAGTAAAATATCATAAGGCACTGCAGATCTTCCAAGATTCCTGATGTGGCAAGACGTGCTAAGATCATGCTTAGACTGCAGATATGGGAATACCAGTGTCTTTTCCCAGGCCTTTCTCTAAAACATTCTGTGGCCACAAGAACGTTCTGGGTCATCGTGCTCTTTACTAAACTGGAAATGCTCTAGGTGGCAGATGCCTGGGGCATTTGGAATTTTATGAGTATCCTAAATCAAGCTTCTGCAGAATGCAAGTGTCAATCTCATAATGTCCTGGAGGTATTTTAGGGCAACAGAGGCGCAATTAAGTCTTACTGGCATTTCCAGAACAAACAACACCCTTTTCCCAGCAGTGAGGAGCATTCAAGGATAGAAGTTGCTCCTCAACATTTAAGATACAGAAAAACAAAAGAATTTGATCTGCCCGGTGCCTCTCAACAAAATCATCATAAAGCTTTTTTTCAATTAAGAGCAAGCTTGGTAATTATATAATGGCCACCAGCAGCCGCTCCAGAGAGGTTGATTCCAAGTATTGGCGACACAAAATTAAATAAGCCTTGGAGCCTGGCCCCAGAAAACTTTTAGAGTTAATTAATCATCCACTTAAATTTCTTTTGCAAATAAGCTTATGGTCCTCAGGTGGGAGGTGGGGAGGAAGAGAGGGTGGATCGCAGGCAGACAACTGTGCTGTTTTTCTCATTTGCAAAGTTCTGATTGCTGCTGAGTTTGTAAGGTCAGGGCGACGGGCTGTCTCTGCATCTCCTGATACTTGTTGGGGTAGCCTGGTACTGTCATAAGACATGAGCTGTACCCCTGAAAGCTTGTCAATTCGGGGACAGTAGCAGCACTGCCAGATAAGGGTGGAAACCCATCTCTGACACATCTTAGCTGACTTTCACTAGGTCACTTCATGTCCCTGACCTGCAAAATCCTCATCTCCAAGACAGAATTGTAAGTGCGACGCAACCCAGGAGACTTTCTGTGGGTGTGAAGGAGATGCCACATGGTGGGCACCTTGTGACGCTCCTAAGTGCTGGCACTCCTGTCATTATTTTATCATTTCCTGGTGCTGTTGCACAAAACACAACCTGAATAAGAGTGGCTCTGGACTCTCCGAAGGGACAGACAGGACAGGCATGGAAGCTGAGCCCTTCAGACGGGAAGTCCTTCATTTAAATTTCCCAAGCCCCAGAGTCCTTCCCTTCCGACACTCCCTCTGCTGTGCTCACCCCGCAGGGCCAAGCTCCACCACCCGTTTTCTAAGCACTGAACAGTGCATAGCTCTGAGATCTCGGCAGCTGAGATTCTGGGCACAGCAAGGAAGACCGTGTGCTTTCAGTAAGAACGGACCATGTTACTTATTTTACAAACCAATCAGCATGGAGTATTTCCCAAATGCTTTCTGAATTACACTTAAGCTTTAAAATCCCATTCTATATTCAGCATACTAATTATAGTAAGATTCTGAAGTTGGAAATTGCACATTGTTGCATATTTGGTTTGAGAACCTTTATAAACAGTAAGGAAAGCTGTATAAATCGTACTCCGTAGTCATGCAAATCTCTATCATTTCAGTCTCCAGCACTCACCAGTATGTGTCATATTTTTCCAACTTGGGCAAATTCTGGTGGATGTAAGCTTCAGTGTCATTGATGTAACCAGTGAAATTGGACAGCGTGGACTGAATAGGAATGTCTTCAGTGACACTCTTGATGTGGGAACTGACGCCATCCAGGACACCTTTGACATCTGAAAACAGAGGTTTGGTGAAGCATCTTCAGACACAGGTCAGGGGAACTACATTTTGCAACCAAACACCAGCACTTGGGACAGTTGGGTTTTTCTCATGTTGTACACATGCTTAGGACGGAGTAAGATTCCATAGCAAGCATGAGTAGAGCCAAGTAGAGTCAGTGAGCAGTGCCGTAGCACCCAGCCCGGCGTGAACAGCGTCTCGATAAGGCGATGCTGAAGCCAGGCCAGTGTCCTCTCCTTCTACTAAGTTGCTAACACAGTGGATCGAGTGGGCTGGGCGTGGTGGTGCACACCTATAATCCCGGCACTCAGGAGGACTGCCATGAGCTACAGGGCAGCCTGATCTACAGAGCAAAAATATATCTCAAGAAAAATAAGATAAAACAAAACAGATCAAGTGATTAACATGTACAGGTAATGACTACTGTGCCCGGGACATCGACAACGTTAACTCGTTTCCTCCTGGGAGGCAGATCCGGTACTTTTAAGCCCCACGTTACTTATGGTCGCCTTGAAGCTCCAGAGGTTACTTATCCCTGGATCTCCTTTTTAGGAAGCCCTGGTACAGAGACTGAAATGAGAGTGTCTCTAACTCCGAAGCTCTGTCACATGATTTGGGAATATTAATCTCACACCTAGGAAGTGGTATTCAAGGACACAGTTATTCTCCAGGACTGCATTTTGAATAAGCGACCACAGGTGATGAATTTGTTAAAATTTTGTTTGACTCTTCAAGAAGTGTGTTTGGCAGGGACAGGGGTGCATGCCAGCTGTGTGAGTTCAAGGCCAGCCCGAGCAATGTGGTAAGACAAAAAAAGGTATATCTATATCACCTGTATTTGAAAAGTAAGAGGATAGCAGTGGCCACCCAGGTCCTATGGATGCCCACCCTCCTCCTCCATGAGGCAGTGAGCTCAGAGAGACCGGCCTGGAGACAAGTGTCCATCTTTCCAGGTCCTTGGGCCACAGCTCCTTGGGCACTGTGGCACCTCCACCAGCCATCACTGACGTCCCAGGATGGCTTTTTCCATGGTGACTTTCAGATCCTGGTTAACCCAGAGCCTCAGATGTGCTAAGAGAGCCCTGCCCCAGAGCTACCTAGCCTAGCCCCAGACCGCATCAATTCCTACTGTGGACATACTGAGGGGAGACACATCAGCTAGGAGTCCACTGACCCTTAAGATCCTGAGAGAAAATCTCCTAACCCAGCAGAGACAAGTATGGTCCAAGGCCTCTGGGGACCTTGGGGTACATGGCACCGAGGCTAGCTTGGTCTCAAATGGAATTACATAAATATATTGTGAACTTTTTTTTTTTTTAAACAGGCTCTTGCTATGTAGTTCAAAGCAGGCTGGCCTTGAAGTCACTATGTATACCAGGATGGTCTCGTGAACTTGAGGCGATCGTCCTGCCTCAGCTTCCCAAGTGCTGGGATCACAGATGTGCACCACCATGCCCAGGAATGATTTCAGACTTTAGACCCTCTCAACAAAGATTCTGTGTCTCTAGAGCTCTATACAACCTTGGGGGCCCAGAATGCCACTGTATCACATAGTGGAGAGAAAAGAAAAATCTTCCAAAAGGACAAAATAAATCCTCATACACTGTATTAAGTAAATTATTTTTTAAAACATCTATTTAAATTCATTTGGAAAATATAACAGCGGGGACTCACTGCCGTGGTGCGGCTGACAACTCAGGACCAGCTGATGCTGTGAATTGTCCTGAATGAGAGATTTTGGTTTTTTTTTAAACCTATGCCACCGATTGGAAGTGACACACTGCCGAGCTCTGATATTCATTCAGTGGCAATAAACTACCTTTTAGAACAGAACCCTACAATTATAACACAGTTCTTTCTTTTTTGTTTTTTCTTTGTTTGGGACCAGGAATTGAACTCAGGCCCCTGTACTTGCCAGGCAGGCACATAAAGTCAAGTCTCACCTTGGATGGCCACCTCCGCCTGGGTCTTCACCTTCTCAGGTATAGCATCGAACAATTCATATCCCTAAAAGATATTTAAAAATGAACCAGTGCACGGGGTAAAGCTGAAGAGCGGTACTTATTTTTCAGCTTAGTGTGGAGTACAGAAGCGAAATAAATGCACAGCATTTATTCTGAGGCAGAAGTGACCCAACACAGTCATCAAATGTCTGGCAATAGCCGCAAAAATCTCATTAGAAAGTGTTTGCCTTAAACTAAATAAACGGAAGATCACGGTAAAAGTTTTGCATATACAATGTTCCCATAATTTTAATATCAATCTGTCTGCTCACGTGGATCCTAGGAATTACCTCTGTAGCAGAGGTTCTTGTGGGGGGACAGCTTGGTGACACCTGGGGGGATTTCACGGTTGCAGCGGGGAGCTGCTGCGGTACGCTGAAGTGCAGGCTGGTGCCGCGAATGCATCTGCTCCACAGCCAGGACTGCGGAGCCCCAAGCTGCTGGTGCTGAGGCTGGGAAACCCCGGGCTGCACGGCGCACTAGTGCAGCTAAGACAGACTTCTAGCGACAGAATCTTGCTCTCCAGGGCAATTACGAAAGGAGACCTACATTTACAGAAGTGAAGAAGTAATCGCAAAACGCAGTTTATAAAGAATACAAATTGCAGGGCAGCTAAGCCTAACGCACATCAAACCCACACCGAACTCTATGGCTTGGGCTTAGTCAAGAGAGGGAAGGACTGTTTCCAGAGACCACTTCTAAGCGCCCAGCCTTTCCTCCGGAAGGCGGAGAGCTAGAGCTTAGCGGGCTGCTGGCATGGACAACCATGTGCCAGGGAAGTCTGCAGTTGGTGCTCTGAGCCTGTGTGAGGTCTATGGTGCCGGCTTTTCCACTGCTGGAGCGTCAGCCGTGGAAGTCAGTGTGGAGATTCCTCCTAAAATTAAAGCTCGAGGATCCATTTGACTCAACTGTTTCCCTTCTTGGCATCTTCCTGAAAGAATGAAAAGCACTTTACCGTAGCAACATATGCACACCCACGCTAATAGCTGAACAATCTGTGACAGGAACCTTGGGAAAAGCCCGATGCCGCCAACCAATGAATGGATAAGACATGTGGATTTCTTTAATACAGTGGAGCACTCCTCTGCCGCAAATGACAAACTTGCGACATTTCTAGCTAAATGGATGCACCTCGAGACCAAACTTTTAAGTGAAATAAATTTGACATGTATTTAAATAGCACCTTGTTTCTCTGGTAAGAGAAATCAAAAGGGTAAATAAGGAACAAAATGTATAATAGATACTAGGAAAATGGGAAGAAAATGTTGAAATGAGAAGTGGATCAAGGGAGAGGGAATGAGAAAGGAGGAAAAAGAATAGAAGGAAAAACGGAAACACGGTTTTGTAAATAAAGAGGGAAAGAGAGGTTGAAAGGAGAGAAGGGGACCAGGGAAAGAAGAAGAATCGAGATTTGCCACGTGTGAGCAGCAAGTCCCTACGATAAGCGTGATCATTACGCGTATCTAAAATGTACCAATAAGCTTAATTAAAAAATAATATCTTTGTATACAGAAGAAGGAACATTTAGGGTGCCTGCCACTTTGTACGACTGCCTTCTTGTCACAGGCCATTCAAGAAGGGCAACTCTTGTTTCCTCAAAGGTGACTAAGCTACCCAGTTGCATGGCTTTCCAAAAGCGGGACCCCTCCAATGTGTCTATAGCTAGACTTCTCACCCAGCCAGGGGGTCTATGGCCTCCTCTAGAGCGCGTTGCAGTTATCCTAGCTCAGTCCCATCATTTCATGAACGCAGCGGCACCAGTGTGCAAAAAGCAAGCGTGGCCGAGAAGTTCAGGCGACTCTGCCTTATCAGGGAGTGTAAGTGACTGCTTAATAAATGGAGACCTTCTGTACCAATGCAGCCTAAATCCTAGAGCTGTGTAAGCAAATGGGTTGATTCTTCAAATTATGGGAACATGCTACATGAAAAATTTTTAACATGATCTTCAATTTATTCAGTTAAGACATGTTCTCAGTGTTGGGTAGAGCCCTTGCCTATCATGTGCAAGGGCCTGGGTTTGATTCCCAGCACCACTACCACAAGAAACAAAAACAGAAAGAAAAAAAAAAAAAACCCTCAAAAAAGAGAAGTTCTCCAAGAGGATTCTTCTTTGGACTTTTCATGCCCATATACATATATTTTCACTTTTTGTTAGTACATGTTGATTACGTAACAATTACATTTCCCATGCGGGGTTGGCCCATGTCCATAGTACATCTTTCTTCATCTCTTTCCTCCACCTACTTTCTGTGGCTTGGTCCACTCCCCATTTGCAAAAGATCCATCTTCCTGTTTCTTCTCATCTAGCTTTCATTCTACTCTAATTTACACTTTGGGCTTCTCATATAAGAGAAACCAGGTGATCTTTCAGCTGAGTTTGATTCATTTCACTCCACCTCACCACGGATGACTGTGTATATTAAATGAAGACGCTGGACCCACAGAATCCAGAGCCCCCAAAAGCACTGGTAGTGTTTCTCTTGCTCTCGAGGGGTCTTAGCGTGATGCTCTGCTGGCAGAGATGCTTCACAAAAGTTCCTGAATTGCAATAATGAGCCAAATGGCTGTTGGCTTTCTTGGTATTTCCTCTTCAGAATATCAAGGCTCCTTTACTGTCTTCCTAATCTCTTACATACTAGTGTACCCTTTAAATGATAAAAAAATAAACCACCGCATTAAAAACAAAAACAAAAACAAAAACATACCTGATTGACTTGGTCATCCAAACCATTGCCAAGAATATTATCAATGTTTTTAAGTTCTTGATCCAGAGACGGGAGCTGAAAACGCATAAGACAAAGTATCAAGAAGATGCAACTTCCCAAATTAACCTCCATTAAAAAAGAGCTGTCCTTCGACAGTCTAAGCACCTGCCTGGCAAGTGCAAGGGTCTGGGTTCTACCACTAGCACCACACGCTGTTCCGGCCTTGGAACCTCAGGGGCCACTGAAACCAGGCATGGTGGCACATGCCTCTAATTCCAGTGCTGGGGAGGCTGAGACAGCAGGAATACTACGAGTCCAAGCTGCATAGTGAGACACTGTACCACATAAATAAATGATTTTAAAAACAAAGCTGTATCTTGTATCCAGCACCCACTTTCTAGAGTACCTCCACATTTTCTTCTCAATGATGGAGTCTTATTTGGGGCAAATATTTTTCTCCCAATAGCTTCTGTAATCACTCAGCCTTAGACATTTGAAGGTTTCTTGCTGCAGCCAGCCCAAAAGGAGGTGCAGAAATTTCACACAGATATAGTACGTGAATAAAGTTGAAAACAACCTTTGCTGTTTGTTTCTGGTTTTTTGAAGACAAGGTCTTTTTAGATATCCCAGATTGGCCTTGAATGCACTATGTAGCCGGGCTGACCTCATACGATGGCGATTCTCCTGACTTGGCCTTTTGAGTGCTACCATGCCAGGCTATATTTTAATTTTAAAGGTCTACAGGAGCTCACCATGGTGGTGTAAGCCTGTAATATCAGCACTGGGAAGTCTGAGGCAGGAAGATCATCTCAAGTTCAAGGCCAGACTGGACTATGTTTTGAGATCAAGGCTAGGCAGAACCCTGTTTCAAAAAAATAAATAAATAAATAAAAAGTTTACACAGACTCCCGTGAAGGGGTTCTGTAATGTTCTTTGCTCCTGTTGAACCTGTTCCAAGGCGGCTATCAGAGGCCCCTCGAGGGTGGCCGGGGTGGACGTGACTGCTCTCCACGCACGCTGCCGGGCACCTGCTAACCTGGTCCAGGCCGGGGGCGCCCTGCAGCTGGCTGAGGCTCGCCCTGATGCTGTTGCAGATCTGCCGTGCAGGGTCTATGCGGCACTCGCTGCCGCTGAGCAGCACCTCAGTGCTTTCTCTCACGTCGGTCAGGCTTTCATTCATCTGTTCGCTTCCCTTCTTCAGACTTTCTACGTTGCTGTTCATGGCCTCCAAGGCCTCCTTGGTCTTCTTGATGGCTGCAGAAAGAACACAGTACCTAAGCACAGACAGCCCAGGTCCTGCCCTCTCCAAGAGGGGCTGTATTCAAGACCTGACGTCAGGCCACTGTGAGGGATGGTCAGACAGGAAGCCACGGGGGGCCCCTCTGCCAGCTGACCCACCAGCTCAGTGCTCCTGAGGGGGGTCCCTGTCAACCAAGAATCAGGGTCTGGCATCCAGCAAGAGCAGAACCGAGGCAGCACTGCTTGACCCAGCAGGCATCAACACGCATCCATCCCAGGAATTTTTCATTCATGCAAAAACCAATTAAACCCAGAGACATTTTACCTCTGAATATCAAAGAGCTACAATTAAGCCTAGAACAGCAGGACAGGGTCTGGTTTTAGATTTGGGCAGGTTTAGGCTTAGAGCCCAGCCTTGTTACTTCCTGTGAGGTCCAAAGTAGATTCTAGAACCTCCTTGAGCCAGTTTCCTCATAACAAAATGCTGAGCTCACTACCACGTTCATCTTTAAATGTGGAGACCAATCAGACTGAAACACCTCCAAGGCAGTGAATCTGTCTGTTTTACACAGGAAGACCCACATCCCAGGACACAAATTTACACCATGACATCAGAATAACAGTTGTCTGAGTCCTGGCGGGGGTGGAGCTCCCCATGAGGCGGAGGAGGTAGGGAGTGACAGTAGTTTTCCACGGTAAGTTAAAGCCGCTCTGTGAAGGGCATGAGATTGCAGCAGGAGGCCATTGTTGTTCTAAGCAGCTAGGTCTTCCTGGCCAGATTTCTTTGCTCTGTGGTTCATTAGTCAAATGATGGGGGTCGGGGGAAACGGGGATGGTGAGCGACCACTCCTCAAGCTCTCCAAGATTCAGAATACAGGTTCTGCTACACAACAGTCAGGGGAACAAAACAGAACTGAGCATCAGTCCGTCAGCGAGTGTTGTAAGGAGACAGCGGGATGCCCTTAAAAACTAGTTGTCCCTCCTTTTCCCTGGTAGTCACATAAGGCTTGAGTGTTAGAACTGTAGGCAGACAGACAGACAGACAGACAGACAGACACACACACACACACACACACACACACACACACACACACAGAGTGCTGTGGAATCATGCTGAAAGCTGCCTGAGCTGTGCCTTGCTGTGGCACCCTTGGCGGACTCTGTCACCTCTAGGGCTCCCAGCCCCCTCACCCATCGTCAAAGAGCAGGCCGGGTCATCTCCTGGACACGGGGCTCTGGGGTTCTAAGCCGTGAACTGACAGATTCGGGGGCTGAGCCTTTGGCAGACAGTGTCACTCCTGTTAGCTCGTCTCATGCCACACTGCAGCTAGCTTTGAGGATTTATCCCGAGACTGGGAAGAGCTGGGCTCACTACAATCCTTCATCTCAAATTCTCCCGGCTAATTCCAGCATTCTGGAAGGCTGAGGCAGAAGGATTCCAAGTGGCAACCCAGCCTGGGTGATTTAGTGACTCAGCAAGAACCTAAGTTAAAATATAAAATGCAACAGAGCTAGAGATGTAGCTCAGAGTGAGAGTTATGGGCTTAAACACCAAATAAAGGCTGTCAAGAGGGCTGGCCAAATAGCTCAGCGGATTAAAGTGCCTGCCAGCAGGTGCATGGGATGGAGATTTGATCCCGAGGCCTGCCATGCTAGCCCCTGCCCCCGGGCACACTGAGGCTGCAACTGAGACTGGGTGTGGTGGCGCACTCCTGTAATCCCAGCTCTTGGGAGGCTGTAAACAGGAGAATCACTACAAGTCCGATCTAGTAGTGAGACTGACCACCCTGTACACCCTTCCCTAAAATACCAATGAATAAATAAATAAGAAGACTGTCAAGGAGCCCAGGGAGCCAGTGTTCCTCCCTCCTGCCTGCTTCTCAGCATCAGCAGCAAAGCACGAGGCCTGGTACCCAGCACACGGCAGAGGGCCAGTCAATATACAACACAACACAATAAAACACGAAGAAACCCACGCAGAGGGCAAAAGAGCCAGCGCTAAGATGCACCACCCACCATGTGCCAGACTCGAGCGATCAGAGGTGTACATCCCATCGTCCTTTCCATGTTGACTTCAAGATAAATTATTTTAGTACAAGAAACAAACAAGATGGAAGAAAGAAGAGACAATAAAATAAATTGACGACCCAGGAAATGTGTCTGTGTAATCATCATCTCTAGATATGCTGGCTTATGGCTAAGATTATGATAATCCCAGGCGGAACTTGGAGGTAACACACGCACATCTTGCAAAAGCTTCAAAGCACTTTATGCCTATAAAATACTGCCTGGGTTAAGACTCTGGAGTCATTTGAAGCCTGCGAAGAGCACACATTATATGCCTGAAGTATAAAAGACCTTTCAGGCTTTTTATTTTAGTTCATTAACGTTAGGTCAGCCCAGTTTCGCTCAGCTCCTTTCTAGGCCCTGACCTGTGACTCTTTTTTTTTTTTTTTGTGGAACCAGGGATTGAACTCAGGTCCTTGCGCTTGCCAGGGAAGCGCTTATTCCACTGAGCCATCTCCCCAGCCCCCGTGACTCGAATACGACGCACACCAAAGACCTGCATGTTGCTGCTTTCTCCAAAGCCCACAGAACGCAAAGGCTCAGAAGAAGTATTTGCCCAAAATTTGCTAGAGAAACTCATTAGTCATATCTAAAGCTCTGGCAGCAACTGGAGCTAAATAAACTGTGACGGGGTCAGGCTGGCTTAAAAAGAAAAAGTAGAAGCTTAGTATCGGCACCACTGATGGGGGAGAATAAAGTCTGATCCAATCATCTTTGATCTCAGGTGCACTAAAATTCAGCATTCGAACTGTGGGGACCTTGGGCAAAAGAAGAGCTCCATAGCAGGTGAGCGGCGCGGTTCACACGACTTTGCACACATGGCCTTCACCCTTGGGTAAGCTTGGAGCTGGAGGAGGTCTGGGAAGAGCCACCCTCCAAAGGCACTGACACACGGGGATCGTGGTACAAGGGTGCCAGGGTGTCATCCTACGGCCACATCTTGGACCTCAGGTTCCCAACTCATAGTCCCAAGGTTCACTGTGCGGCCTTCTTGTGGCTGGCACAGCTACACAGAACAGCCAGACTCTCCCTACATACTCACCCTATTGGTCAGAAAGCAGGACTTTTGTCAGGTCTGACCCCAACTCCTTCATCTCCCAGCTACCCAACTGCTGTGGACCAAGTGTCTCGCCAATGGCCAAATGTGGCTATGTTTGGAGGGAATGCCTTTAGGTTAAATGTGATTGTAAGCGCAAGACCCTATTTTGACAGGATGGTGTCTTTTAAGAGGAAGAGACACTAGGGATGGATCCAAGACAGGAAGTAAGAAGGAATGACAGGCAGAAGCCAGGGAAGGAAGGGCGGCAGGGAGAACAGAGGGAAGAAAACAGAGAGATCAGGAGAAAGGAGGGAGGGAGGAGGAAGTAGCTGCCCAGGAAATGCAAGCAGAAGGGCAGAGGCCTGGGTCTTTGTGGTCACCTCCCTTCTCTGGGTCTGAGTTTCGTGGCCTGGAAGGGAAATTGCTGGAGATGAAGAGAACAGAGATCTGGAAACATCAAAGGCACCAGCACCGGAGGATTCCCCTTCAGCTATGCAACGGATCAACGGATGGACATGAAAGACCCTTCCTTAACAGCAATCCCACCAACACCGCGCCTGCTCCACACACCCTTCCTCCTGCTCATTTGCCTGGATAGTTGAACCATAAGAAATGCCCAAAAGAACAGGCACAGTCATACAACTTCCATATATTCCCACACCCTATGCCCTGTTTTCTCAACAATACTAGCTCATGAAAGCATAATTCATACTGGCTCAGTGTTTTACAGATAAAATTGTCCTCTCCACCCAGTGCCTAGCATAGACATTTCTCTCAATATTTGGAAGTCTGGAATATTCTGCATCTCTGAGGTCCTTTCACCACTGCAGTAGAATAAAGTATTTACTATTAATTAATATTTACTATTAAATTATACCTCCTCACTTAAACCACTGTGTGCAGAGGAGCTTAAGATATCTATATACGTTTCTTGATTCTGAAAGATATTCTATTAGGTGAAGGAAAAAATAACCAATATCCTTCAAGTCTTAAAATGCTGTGCCTTACTCACATCCTATGTCAGAGGTCAAACATGTTTTGTTTTTTTTTAAAGCACAGGTAGGAAATATTGTAGGCCTGCAGGGCACATGGTCTGTGTTATAACTCCCCACTTCTGTCATCGTAGCTCAGAAGCAGTGACAGATGGTACGCATGGATAGATGTCCATGGCTGTATTCCAATAAAACTTTACACGAACAATTCTGGTACTATCACTTCAAATCATTTCTAGGCCATCAGTGTAACAAGTTTAGAGACAGAAGCAAACTACTGTGTCACCAAGTGACTGTGCCTGGTCTGTTTATATGGCCACAGACTTCAGCTCTGACCTACACCAACGCTTAGGAGAAGCCAGGATAGAGAGACCCTCCACTGCTGTTTCCGGTCCTCTGTGCCCCCGGCTCACCTGTCGCCATGGCCTTGATCTCATCCAGAACAGGGATCACGTGAGGTGCCAGACGGTCGTGAATGTTGCCTCCGAGCATCTCACCAATATCTGGGTTCAAACAAGCAGAAGACAGTGAGTGCAGGTCTGTTACGACTTCTGCCTCAAGCCCCTCCTCCTGCCCTGATTCCACTTTCCAGTCCGGACCCCATTCAGGGGCTGACCCTGCAGTGCAGATCTTACCACGTGCTTCAAAGGCCCCACAGGAGAGAAAAACGAGTCACTACAGAGCCACAGACTATTTGTGCTGTAAGCGCAGGGTTTATCGTCTTGAGCAATGCAGCTGCGCCTGTCCCCGTCTCTTCCCGAGGCCAGAGTTGCCCCTTGTGGCACTGCTGACATTAGTGGCACTATCCTGGGCACTTGACGCTGAGCAGGAGCCCTGCCGCACTCCCAGCTCACCGCATGGTGCCAACCAAACGTCTCCAGATGCGACCAAAAGTCACCCTGGGGGAGAACCACTACGCCAAGCTGCTCCTGACCCCTGAGGCACAGAGGGACCAGCACGGTCCCCTTTGGATTTCTGAAACCCACCTTAAGAGGGCAACTGGCAGGGCTGGCTTTTCTCTCCCACATAATGAAGGACAGTGCTGTGACCCAAGACAGTAAAAGGTTTTCAACAAATGTGCAGCACAAAAATAAAACTCATCCCCTTGTGAAGCAAAACTTCTCAGGATGTGCCAGATTACAGTCATCCAGTAGGAGATGGCAAGTTGCCAGTGATGCCCGGGAATTGTTTTCCTGCTCCCCTATTTTCACTTCACTTCTCAGTCCAGTTTGTAAGGGAGTTGGCCACAGTATCTTCGGAGCCAAAGCAAACGATAAATAAAATTAACCCAAAATGCTACTCACTGTCCAGATCGGTGAACCCTCTCTCCTTGGTGGTATTGAACTGATCCAAGATATAGTCAACTTGCTAGAAAAGAAAATGACATGAAACTGGCTTCACAGGGTCCAAAGCCGCAGCACAAAAATTAGAGACTTGACATTCAAAAATTAACTTGCAACTAACCTAAAATTAATTTGAATCACAACATTCAAAGAAACCTAGCAAGTTCTAGAAATGTTTTAGTTCCTGACTCTCAGACTTCTTAATAACATTCTCAGGTTTGCTGACCAAAAATAACTTCACTTTATAAATGAGTTGACTTATTCTGGGCTGGTTACTTGGGATGCTTCATTTTGTCTCCTGATTCTGTGGACTGCCATGTTGATCTTCTTGTCAGGGCCAGCATGGCTGTGGACAGATGGGGCTCTCTCTCTCTCTCTCTCTCTCTCTCTCTCTCTCTCTCTCTCTCTCTGACTGTGAAGTTGGGCAGAGCAGAGCCTCTAAAAGTCCAAGCTCAAAACTAGCACAAGGCCATGTCCACCGTGTTGTCCTGGTCACAACAAGCACCTCACAGAGACAGCCTGGATGTCAAAGGCTGGGAAACAGCTCCAGGACTGGAGGAACTAACGAGCACTGGCAGCCATTTGCAGTGTGGCTTAGTGGGGTCCCCAGTGGCCTGCAAAGGGGTGGCCTGCCCTGCTGTCTATGGGGCCGGAGGACTCATTCCCACCCCTTCAGGGACACTGGGGATTAGCATTTCTCAACAGCGACTGAAAATCTTCTTAGTGAAAATATCGATCACTGGTTAAATTTTCATTTCTAGGATTGCTAGACCAAGTTCAACATGCTTTGTTTTGCTCCCACCTACTTTGTTTGCATGCTTCTGTCGATTATACTTCACATTTTTCTACCCAGATTTCATGGCTGCGTTAGCCTCCTTCACTGGAACCAGCTTCGTTCCACCAGAGTCAGCCATTTTCTATCCTTTGAAGGCAACAAAAGCCACCCCCATGAAACCTCACCAGCCGTCACCACTATCCAAGTTGGCCAGCTTTTTAGGGAAAAAAAGCTTATCTTTGGAGTCTTTAGAATGTTGAATAAGAAATACAAATTTTTATCCAAGGATTAGGAAAAGCAAGTATTTCCGTCTTGCACCCAGGCCATAAAACCACAAAGTTAATGTCCTTGTTCTTGGTACTTCAAAGTATATGCATCTGTTTTCTCCTTTATTTTTAGTCACTTAAAAAAACCCTTGCACACACTTAGTAAAGTCCAATATATTTAGGGCAGGATAGACTTGGAGGAAATCCCAGCCCGTGTGTAGAGGTTCACTGCACTGGCCGACTTTCTATCCAATCCGAGAGCAGGCTTTCCCCTGCTGACTTGGGCATCCTCAGGCACTGCGTATTAAGGGGACTTCCTGACCAGTCACACTTCCAAAGAATGTCCCGAGGAGGTACCACAGCAACATGCTCCTGGGATGCAGAAAGAGGCGCCTCCTCCTGGATCATGGCCCCTTCAGCCATTCTGTCCCCGCTACCCACACAACCCATGTTCGCACGAGTGTGTAGGTTAGGAACATGATACACCTGTCCAGCTGTGACGGAGCAGGAGTTCCTTTTACTACCCAAACGAAAGGATACAAGTTTCCAAAGGCTTTTAAAACAATCATGAGACTGTCAAAATTAACTAGCTTTGGAATATGTATTATGGCTTCGTTATACCTTAATAAAATAAAAGGCAGTCACATAAGAATGCCAATTCTGAAACTCTGCTTTTGTACTCTTGGGGACCACCTGTGGGATCCTTATTCTTCATCTACAACATTAAAAGGCACACTGTCTCCAGGGATTCCCCAGGCTCCCTGAAGTTTGCAGGTCAGGTCTCGACACACACAGAGACAGGGACAAGCCCAGAATGCGAAGTGTCGTGGGTCCTCTAGGCTGAGCTTTACCTTTGGAAGGTGGTTCAGGACCATGCGAAAGTCATGCAGATTGCTCTCCGCCAGGTTCTGCGTCCTTTGGACCCAGGTCCTCATTTGGAGGTTGGCCAAAAAGCCGAACAAGATGCCGATGCTGCAGTAGAAGGCAAACCGTTTACCGTGTGGTGCCCAATCCTTGGTCTTCTGCAAGGCAGGAGCAGGAAGAGGCTCCTGAGAGGCCACCTTCTCTGCCCCTGTCCTGCTCACTAGGGTTCCCCTGTTGGTACCACCATACGAAGCCACAAAACAGGGCTCAGACCGCCCAGAAGACAAAGCGTCTTGCTCAACAATGACTCTGGTAAGTGAACGACCTGTGGAGAGCTAAGGCTAGCACGGTGCCAAGGCAGCATGTGATCCAGCGTCCTGAGCTCCGCTGTGAACCCCCCACACCTACACACACACACACACACACACACACACACACACACTGCACATCTCTCCTCCCCCACAAAGAAGTCGTAAAAACAACGAGATGACAGGTCAACGGGGCCTTCTAGAATTCTTGGTTTCTCCCATTGTCTATTTCAGTACTGTCCCGTTAGGAGGAATGCAACTTCCTTTTGCATTAGAATGCTTCAGGAGAAGCCTCACACAATGGAGTGAGTCCCTACCCCCTACTGTATTATTTCATTTTCTGCAAAGAACAAAAACAGGAAAAGCAGGAGAATTCTTCATTGAACAACTGAGTTCTGTTTTGAGGCTGGATTGTTGCATAAATGCATCACCAACTGAGGGGCTATAAATAGTACATACAATATTGAGAACAAAGAAGGGTCAAAGGAAATTCTAACTTGAGGGCCCTGCTTTTATTTGCATAACTCTTCCATGAAGTAGTGTAATGTATAGCAACATAAAGCTACAGTGGCATACAGTACAATCAGCAAAAATTACAATTCTGTACAAACAAGGTGTGATGTTCAAAAAAAAAAAAAAAAACAACCAAAACATTGAGGCTTTATAAACAAGCTGTACAAATGTGCACAGAAAAAAGAAAGGTCTTAAGTCCAAGGGGAAGATAGGAATTCCAAACAGTCATTAGACAGGTTGGTCACTAAATTAGGAATGTCTGCATTAATTTGACCAAACTGCTTTATTTTCACAGCGGAGCTCTTGAACACTGACAATGTTGTACGTGCACCAACTGCTAGGCCCTGCTGGCTTTGTCCACCAGGTGGCAGCAAGGAAGTACCAAAGCTAAGCACACCGCAGGCTATCCTGCCTATATAAACTAACAAAATTGTACTTTTGCCATCATCCAACGGAAGCTGTAGATATAATTTTCACAACCAAATGCTGCAAGTAATGGGTGTAGGAAATCAATACATTGCAACTTCAGCAAAGCAATTCTGGGAGTTTGGGGCATGCATATATTTACAAGCAAGCTTCAGTTTCATACTGAAAACTCCCGTGTCCCTAGTAAATGTCTGGGTCCTAGGTATGCCCGGACACCCACTGCCTCCTCCAAGAAGCAGTGGATCCTCACTTCAAACCTCATTTCCTGTACCAGTGTTTTATAAACCAGGGGGCTGCCCGAACAGCCCAGGCGCGCCTACGTAACACACAGCAGTGAGCGGGTCTCATCGCCCAGGAGCTACACAGAAAACACCAGGCTTGGGTGCTGGTTCCACTCTTCACAGTGTGAGCTTGAGAAACTCACTTTCCTTTTGCAAACATCAGCAGGGTCTTAAAACTAAAAAAGATCTGCTCAGAGCTTTAGGTCTAATTAGGTAAACAGATCTAATCCAACTTATGCTGGAAATGTGCTCTTGAAGCTGCAGAGGAGAACTACTGAATATTCATGAAGTCTCCCATGTTCTGGGAGCTGGGGGTTCCTTATCATGGTGGATGGGATTAAGCTTCGTAATATTCTAGGCCATTTGGAATAATTTTCTTACCATCCATCGTGCCCATCCTAGTGGGGTGAGTACTCTAGAGTCACACACCACACCACACCAACAAGTTATTAAATGATGCTGTTGGAGAGATCTGAGTTAGAGAGACATTATAGGAGTCAGACAGGGCTGACCCTCAAAAGAGACAGTATGGAAGACAAGATACCTTGCAACCATGGGAGAGACAGGTACCTCTCCCTGGGAGCCAGACCTCAAGACAAAAGATTAAACAAATGCAGCCACACACCTCCCTAGGAATGGGCAGCAGGGATTGACATTCTAAGTAGGTCTCTATCACCTTGAAAACGCCAGAGTCACTCACCCAACTCCCTGCAGGAAAAGCCCCTGTTCTGTATTCAGGGCCGCTTGCATGTGACTTGCTTCCTCATTTGATCCCGATTTAATCAATTTTACCTGAGCAGTTGTCCTTGTAATCTTATTGGATGACCACAGTTTGTCCCACCTCATGTGCGAATTCCCATGTTCCCCACCTTAGGCCCGCCTCACCTCACAGTTTTGCTCTATAAAAATCTGTAGAAAAGGCAGAGTCCTGGGCAACCCACTCGTGTCCCCTTCTGTCCCTCTCTCAGACAGAAGTTTTCTTTCCCCCTATAAATATATTCTGCTCTGAACCTCCACTGTTCCTAAAATTCATACTTCAGTTTTAGAGAACACGAACTCGTCCCAGATATCTTTCAGGTTGGGAGTGTCATTCCCCTGTATCAGTACCCTCGTGCCAAATCAGGCCCAGACCATAGGGAGCAGGGAGATAGCTCAGTAGAATAAGTGCTTGCCTGGCAAGCACAAGGTCCTGAGTTCAATTCCCAGTACTGGAAAAAAAAAAAAAAAAAGATATTCCATGCCATGACCAGGAAGGGTCCCCCCGGACACACCTGATAGCCACGCCGAGCACCCTTGCTTTGTCTCCCTCCCTGCAAATGGCCCAGATTACTTCAATCATTCCTCAGGCTCAGACTCTTCGGGTCATTTGAAAAGTCACAGTGAAATCTGAAGTCCACTTTCACTGGCCTTGCTTCAGTGTCAGGACACCTCTGTCCCCATTCTGAAGAGCACTTCTGCCTTCACGTGCTAACTGGCCTGTTCTCCCACCTGTGGTTAATTTCCCCAAAAGAGGTGGCAGCTGTGCGGCAATTTTGCGTATAGCAGCCTTGTCCCCAGGGTGCTCAGTGAGGCTACTGAGGGCTGGCTTCTGGGTCACACAGCCAATTTAGAAGAGTCACCACCTGACTGGACAGCCCAAGCTAGAAACTTGGGCTTTATTGAATAAATGCCTTCACTCAAGCAACCATCAGTCAGAAAAATGAACTGCAGTGCAACATTTCAGTACTGAATTCAACGCTAATTATTTAAAGACTCATGTCTCTGTTAATCCATAGAATAAGTCAATGAAAACAAACCTATTATCTTTAGGAAAAACTACTAAACAGAATTAGCCAAGCAGTCAACACCATTCACAGCCAATTTGCAGACCTCCTGAGAGTGTAAACTTATATTTAAATTAAGGATAACATTCTCTCAGGCTTTCACAGAGAGCAAATTGGTCAAGCAATGGCCGTGACTCATCCACATGGCTGACACTCACAAAGGATCTACAAAGTGCGGTACAAGGTTTCAGGATAAATCATGAGGGGAACTGACTGACCTTAACAGCTACATTTCTTGTTATATAGGTCTTGCTTTCTCTTGGTCTTAACCAGCCAGCAGAAAAGTATAAAAATGAAGTATAAAAATTAAAGCCATATTCATGGAAAATCCACTATTATTATGGACTACTGAACTATACTGGAATATTTTGCTGAACTCATGCACCTATAATATTTAAATGACAATGGAATACCCTTCTCTGACAAAACTAAAGAAAAAAAGGGGATACAAATGAATGACCATTGTGTATCTGTATATTTAAAATAGTTAGGATCTATATACAACTACATTCTCTTAATTCAATGAATAGAAAGATTTGTTCTAAGTGTTTTTTAGAAATTTTTTTTCTAATAGTGTTTGTAAACAGGATACCATGTCTGCATCTTATACAATGAATAACCACTAAGACAACAATATGCAATGTATTAATTATCAAAACTGTCCTACTAATTGGATTTGAAACTGTCTCATTGCTATTTGTTTCTCAATAAAATTATTGAAAAAAGAGAAAAAAAGAATAAATAAATAAATAAAGGATAACAAATGCAAATGCCTGCAGCACAGGGGAAAGTGGACCCATGGGCCTGTGGAGCTGGGAGGACAGAGTGGGGTGGGGCAGCTGCGCTGTGCTTTTGGAAAAGCCCAGGTGCCAGGGAGTGACGGTGGCACTGAGCTCCACCATGATGGCAGGCAAGTACTGCCATGACCTCCGCGGCATCCACAAACATCTGGAGATCTAGATTCTGATGGAAAAATCTCTCCATTCGTATTAGTTACTAGTAAAGTGCTGCACGGAACCACTGGGTGTCTGTTTGCCATCTCTAACTTATGCCTTTTATTTCAACAAAATAAAGGACAGAGAAATGATGCTTTTGGGTTGAGGGTATAGCTTAGTGGTAGAGTGTCTGTGTGTCTGTCTATGTGTCTGTCTGTCTGTCTATCTCTCTCTCTCTCTCTCACACACACACACACACATGCACACACATGCACTCAGCACACACACACACACTCTTTTTAATTGTTTATGTAGATACTATTTTTTTAAAAAAAATCACACGAATTTCTGTTTTTAAATTCTAACAGCAACCCATCAACTAAAGGGATATGAACAGATAGGGAAAATGTATCTAACATAAAGAAAGAAAAAAATTTCAGTGAATATCCCTTCACTAGCCCTTGGCATATGTCATCAAGCTATCAAAAATGTGTGCTTTTATGCAGAACAAAATCTCTTGAAATTTTTAGCAGAACATAGGAATTTTTATTTTTTATGGTACACTAACATTATATTTAATAGTGTTACATGTTGTTATAGAAAAGCTACTTTCCACACATATACCTATCAGCAAATAACTACAGCTTTTAGAGTGAAAAAGAGTAAAAAAAAGTATGACTATTTTATCCCTAAAAATTGCTACTGAATCAAATTAGCCATTGAAAGTCAAATAAATGCTTTTAGCCTTTAACTGAACTTTTTATATTTAAGATATAATTTTTGAATTTGAAATTACAGTTACTAGACCGCTTGTTCCCAATA